AAAGGGGTGTTTGAAAAAAAGTGGTTGCTTATTGCTTATTGCTTATTCTCACCACAATAAGCTTAGTTGAAGTGTTTGGACAGAAAGCCTAAAAAATCAGTTTATTGTGATAGTAATAAGCTAAATAAGTTGGTTTTAATAAGCAATGCGGGGAATGCTTATTGATTATTGCTTATTGTGGTATGAATAAGCTAAATAAGCTAATCCAAACACTTTTTAAAAAACTGTTTATTCCCACCGCAATAAACTAAATAAGCTAATCCAAACATTTTTTAAAAAACTTCTTATTACCACCACAATAAACTAATAAGCTAAAAACATATTTATCCAAACACCCCCTAAAGGTGTATTTTATCACATGCATTAGATATGTTATGTCGTGATTCATATAATATTTATTAAAAGACGTGTTATTTGCGACAGCAAACTATTATGACCCAACCGATTATTTTGATCATTTTGATCAACCCAATCATATAGTTGTTTATTAGTGCCCCTAATAATGAAGGTTTTTGGATCCACCGCTACATCCACACAAGAATAATATGAATGCCTTACAAAGTAGCCTAAGACAAGGGCGGAAGTAATTAGTTGGCAGGGGTAGCACGTGCTACCCCTCAATTCCACCCTAGAAATATTGATATATATATATATATGTGTGTGTGTGTGTGTGTGTGAAAAGTGAATATACCCTTAAGGATATATAAGCTTAGGTACTCAAACTCACCATAATAAGTCGTTTTGTTTGATATAATCATTATAATGTCCTTAAACTTATACCCCTAACTTGATTTACTTCCAGGATTTTCGAAATTTCACTATTATCTTCTTTTTACATCATATATTTATGCCGAACACCTACTAGGCTATATATATTATAGTTAAAAATGAAAATTATATAAAAGAAAGATAAATGTAAAATTTATAAAAATCTTAGAATTAAATCAAATTAAAAGTTGAATTAGAAGAACATTGGATAATTACAATGTGTATATATGATACAAAACGATGTAATATGGTGAGTTTGGGTACCTAAACTTATATACCCTTAAGGGTATATTCACTTTTCCCTAAGCTTATATACCCTTAAGCTTTTATATATATATATATATATATATATATATATATATATATATATATATATATATATATATATATATATATATATATTATATATATATATATATAATTACCAACCTCACTTCAATTATGATATGCTTTTTGATTAACTCAAAGTCAGATTATATTTTCTAATATAAAAAAGATGCCCAATTACTTAGCCCATTAACTTAAATGATAGCCCATTAAATAAAAGAAAAACATATAGGTATTTGTTTTGTGAACACCTAAATTACGAAAGGATACAAGGGATAAAAAAATTGATATATTTTTTTGATTCATATGATCGTCGTTTTAACTGTCGGCTGCTTCCTGGTTCACCATAACTTTTCTTGGCAAAGCTTATTCACCCATTTTGCTATTGGCTCACTTATGGAATATGAAACAAGTAATATTTAATTTTTCATCTTTAATGTTTTATGATTTAATGTTTAATGATTTAGTTTAATTTATTTGTTCAAATTGAAAACCTAATTAGCCAAGTAGTTGCTCACTTGTATTATGTTTAAATCTTCAATTGTGAATTTTAAATCTTTAATTATATTTGTAGGGTTTAATTGGAAAATTTTTTAAAAGGACATTGGATGTTGGTAGTAGTGATGAAAGTGGTGGAGGAAAAAGATCTCATCCTCAACCACAACCACAACCTCAACCACAACCACAACCACAACATATTCCAACTAGTTTTGATATTAATAATCTTCCTTCGGACCCGACAGATAGACCAAGAATTACATCATATCATCCAAATCAAAGGGATGAAATAAGGAGAGCATATTGGATTAAAGGACCTTCTCAACCAAAAGGCCATGATTTTCCATCAATAAAAATTGGTGGTAAGAATAGACGTTTTGTAAAGGAATGGTTTGATGAATTTAATTGGTTAGAGTATAGCACAAAAGAGAACAAAGCTTTTATGTTGTTACTTGTTTGGTGATATTGTGGGGCAACAAGGGGGGAGAGATGTATTTGTGACAGGAGGCTTTGATACTTAGAGTAAAAAGAAATCATTGAAAGATCATGAAGGTAAAGTTGACACTCATCACCACAAAGCAAAACAAAAATGTGAAAATCTAGTAAAGAAAAACCAATCTATTAGTGAAGCTTTTCATAAGCAAACTGAAGTTGAAGTAAGTAACTATCAAATTCGATTACGTGCTACAATTGATACTTGTAGATTTTTATTGAAGAATGTGTTGCCATTTTGTGGTCATGACGAGTCGGATAAGTCAATTTCTAAAGGCCTTTTCATTGAAGAATTATCATTCCTTTGGGACCATAATGAAAAATTTTAGAGTAAATTACACGAATGGTCCCTATGGTTTAGGGTAATTTGCACGTTTGGTCCTTAATTTATTTTTTTAACTCGGAAGGTCCCTACTGTTTGCTTTTATTACGTGTTTGGTCCCTACTGTTTGTTTTTATTATGCGCTTGGTCCCTATCTTACCTAAAAATACTATTATTTAAATAGAAAAAAATGGTGGGGTAGGTAAGGTAAGGTGACGGGAGTGGGGTTGGGAGTGTGTTTATCTAAATAAATTAAAAAATCAAGGGCAAAATAGTCTTTTTAGCTAAGATAAGGACCAAACGCGTCACAAAAACAAATAGTAGGGACCTTCCGAGTTAAAAAAATAAGTTAATGACCAAACACGCAAATTACCCTAAACCATAGGGACCATTCGTGTAATTTACTCAAAATTTTATAATGTTACTTTAGAAAATGCTCCAAAAAATGAAAAGTTGACGCCTCCAAAGACTCAAAAAGAGATTGTTCAATGCTTTTCAAAAGAGATAATAAAGTCCATTTGTGAAAAAATTGGTAATGATGTGTTTACTATATTAGTAGACGAGTCTAATGATGTATCCAAAAAGGAACAAATGGCTATGATTTTGCGATAAGTTAGTAGCCTTGGATTAGTGAAAGAAAGATTTTTTGGAATTGTTCACGTCATGATGTGTTTACTATATTAGTAGACGAGTCTAATGATGTATCCAAAAAATGAACAAATGGCTATGATTTTGTGATATGTTAGTAGCCTTGGATTAGTGAAAAAAAAGATTTGTTGGAATTGTTCACGTGAAGGATACAACTTCTTTAACTCTAAAAGAAGCCATTGATTTTGTATTTATCAACAATAACTTGAGTATATCTCAGGTAAGAAATTATAAATTCTTTTTTTTTAATGTATTTGAATGGTTATCTATTTTATTTTTTATATATAATTTTTTTATATAGGTAAAAGGGCAAGGACACGATGGAGTAAGTAATATGCGGGGTGCATTTAATGGTTTGAAAACATTGATATAGAAAGATAATCCTTCGGTATATTATATACATTGTTTTGCACACCAACTTCAATTAGTGGTTGTGGTTGTAGCAAAAAACCACGATGATGCTAATGATTTCTTTGAGCTATTAGCTTTGGTGGTTAATGTGGTGTGTGCTTCTTGTAAAAGAAAATATATAATACGAGATAGTTACAAGGAAAGGGTTCAAAAAGAAATTGGTAATGGTGAAATTGAGACTGGAAGAGGGTTAAATTAGGAGACTTCTCTTGTTCGAGCTGGGGAGACAAGATGGAGCTCACATTATAAAACCATAATAAGTTTGAAGAATTTGTTTCCAGAGGTTATCAAGGTTCTTAAATATGTTGGAGAGGAGGGGTCTAGTTTAAATAACCGAAATCAAGCGTACGGTATTTTGTCATATTTCAAGACTCTTGATTTTATGTTTTATTTACACTTGATGTTGGAGATTTTTGGTCTCACGAATACCTTGTCAAAACATCTTCAAAGAAAGGATCAAAATATTTTGGAAGCAGCTTCTTTGGTAAAAGTGACAATGAAAACGTTCAAAGCTTTTAGAAATAATGGGTTTCCTTCAATGTTGGAGAAGGTATTTTCTTTTTGTCATAAACATCAAATTAAAATTGTGGAAATATCCGAATTTTATGTTACTCCAAGAAACAGTAGAACCAAGGTTACTAATCAACATCACTTTGAAGTTGATATTTTCAACACGGTTATGGATATGCAAATTCAAGAACTTTGGGACCGTTTTAGTGAAGTGAGCACCGATTTGCTTGAATACATGGCGGTTTTGAATCATTGTAATGCTTTTTCTATGTTTGACAAATCAAAGTTGATGAAGCTAAGTAAGTTGTACAAAACTGATTTTAATGATTCGGAAAGGGTGTCTTTTGATGGTCAACTTGAAACCTATTATCACTCTTTGATTGATGATGAGAGATTTTCTAATTTGAAGGGAATTGCAGACTTTTCTCGTTTGATGGTGGAAACCAGGAAACATCTTTCTTTTCCTTTGGTTTATTGGTTATTAAAGTTGACTTTGGTTTTGCTCATCGCAACCACAACTGTTGAAAGATGTTTTTCCGCAATGAAGCTTTTGAAGACCGACTTACGTAACAAAATGAGTGATGATTTTTTGAATGATGCTTTAATTTGTAGTGTAGAAAAAGAAGCACTTATGGATGTTAAGATTGAACGAGTGATAGAGCGCTTTCCGAAAATGGATAATCGTAGAGGACAACTTTAAAAAATGTAATTATGTAAGATTTTTGCGCTAGTTTGTTATTTCTAATGAAACCGAAATTAAAAAAGATTATCTTACTATCTTTTATTGAGATTTTTTTTGTGCTACCCCTTACAAAAATTTATAGTTCCTCCACTGGCCTAAGAACACTAGAAACCCTCTAAAATGTGCTTGAGGTCGACTAGGCTAAGTGGTTAAATACTTAACCTTGAATATGAAAGATTATGGTTTACTATGTTGAAAGGCAAAGCCCCTAGCACAGACTGCATCAATCTAACATTTAGAAGCGAACAGATTGCATCAATCTAACATTTAGAAGCGAACGATTCATGTCACATTGTGGATCTTGACCTGCTCCTCGTCTTTGTGCTTTACGTGCATTGCTCCCTCAAACCCTTTGTAAAGTTTCATGTATTTTCTTAAACATAATCACATTATGTATTACATGCGCACACACCCTAGTTGTACAATTGTGAAAGGTTCAAATGTCTAGCATGACACTACAATACCTTACGATTACTTTATGATCTTTGTTCCTTTTTCCTATCAATATGTTGACATGTTCATTAAAGATATGCATATGCCATGTGAATTCTTCGACTTTAGATCCAGTTGAACCTTCAACCACCTCACGCGCATTCTTATTAGAATTATGATCATATCAATATACTCAATCCCAATCCAATCAAATGTACATCAAGATATAATGTTCCAAGGACACCAAATGAATATAAATTCCAAAAACACCATCGAATTGTAAATTACTCCGTAACAAAATAGATAGAATCCCAAAAATTATGTAACAAGTACTATATGCCAAGAGAGTAAATTCTAAAATGAAAAAGGTGCATCAAGAAACAGTCACATAGATGCACAAGTTTCTATGCATCCGTGTAGCGAAACCAACATATTATCTTTTTAAGTAAAAGCATCATCGATGGTTCCTACCCTGAAAGTTGCCTTTATTCTTGGCAATAAAACCATTTTTGGGCTTGGGTATTTCATGAATATCCATCACTTGTATTTTTCTTTGCTTTTTGGCTTCACATAATTAAAAAAAAAAAAAATTGTGGTCATTTTAATTTTTCTCTTCAAAAAAAAAAAGAGTTAAATTCATTATACTACTAACCATTTTGGGCTTCTTGGTAATTCTCTTGAAGCCGCTTGCTGGCTGAAGCTAGCCGGTCAAGGTCAAGGTCAATGTTTTGTTCCTTCCTTGGTCGCTGTCAAAATTCCAATTTATAATAAATAAATAAAAATCCAGCAAGTCAACGCTCTGGTCAAACCAAATTAAATGAATCTGTTTTTGAGGTGCTTTTTTTTGGTTGCATGAAGAATAAAAATAGTGACATTGCAATCAAATATACCAAGGCATTGGATTTTGAATAAGTCATCCAAATTATAGCATTGTAAGTCACTACTTGTAATCTTATTACGTATTATACTTTAATAAACCATCGGAAAGTTTCTTTGTATTTGGATGTCATTGCTATAATTAGGTAGATCTTTCAAAGTATAATGTCGTAATCTGTAATAGGAAGAAATGAAAGTATGATGATATAATAAACAAATGAGTGAAAGCAAATTGCTATTTTTTAGAGAACTTACGTTTGGAGGAATAGAAGCAGAAGCAAGATTCATAGGGCGAGATTGGGGTAAAGGTCTTGAAGGTGTTGGTTTCTTGGAAACAACTGCTTTCGGTCTTTGCTCTGGTTCAGAATTATTCCTTTCAGAACCAGAACTCCCATCTACAGTTTTTTTTTTTTTTTTTTAATTTCGTGTAAAGAATTGATCAAAAATCACTCCACAACAAAGTATGGAAAAGAATCGGATGATTTTAATCAAATTCGATACTTAACTGTGTGGGTTAGGAGAGTAGCCAAAATCAGGCCCCTGAGAATTATAATTTCAAATGTCAAGAAACATAACAGAAACAAAAAAAAAAATTGCTATAATTAGAAAGATTTTTCAAACTACAATGATTCATTCTCTTTCTTTCTCACCTGGTGATAACCATTTTGGGAACTCCTTACTATGTTTTGTACCAAAGGTGAATCCCCATCTACAATCGCACGAAAATAAAAAGCAAAAGCTTGAAGACATGTATATGAAATCAAAGTTTCATAGATAGAAATTGTGAAATAAGAGGGATTGGATTACCTGTTAGAGTAGATTGAGCATGATCACCACGTTTGGATCCAACCCACTCATCCACCAAATCTTTCCATTTTCTATAACAATTAGGACGTGTAAAAGAAGTTGAAAAAGAATCTGAAAATTTTTGGGTTTCAAAGCTGTTTGAATGTTACTGACCTAACTAGTTGCTTCACCAATCTTCTTACTTCGTTAGATGGATGTTTTCGAAGTTGATTGACATGTCTTCCTATATCAGTTTCCTGATTTGGATTTTCAGAGATTAGCGTTATGAGTTATATGATTGATGGTTTACTTGCTTACAATGGAGGGAAAGAAACAGAGTATGTTTAATTTTTTTTTTTTTTTTTTTTTTACCTTGAGGCCTGTGAAAGTTAGATCCATATCAGCAAGAGTTTGAAGCAAATCAACGACAGCATCATCAGTCTATATCATAATCATATCAATCGTTATAAGTCAACTAACAACAGAGAAGCGAGATGATGAATATGTGTAAATTTGTTAGAATTGATACCTGGTGTGGATCTTCAAGCTGTTCTTTGATTCTAAGAATTTTACTCTGTTCATCATCGAACAACCCTCCATACGGATCTGGGTCTTCTTCATCTTCGTCGTCATGGGGAATCGACTGCGGAGTTAACGGCGAATCACCTCCTCCTCCTCCTTCTCTTCCGCAATCATCATCCACCTCCTTTGAAATCGTCCGGATTACACCATTCCGCTGCTGCTCAATTTGATTCCCGTCGCAATTGCTACACTGCTGCGTGAACAGCCGCTCCACGATTCCATCTCTACGATGCTTAAGCTCTCCGGCATAATCCGATGAAGCTACCGTTATAGCCGCATCAATAATTTCCCAAACATCCACCCTTGAATTCGATAAAATCGCCTTAAATTCATCTAAATCCATTCCCTAACAACTAACGAAAACCAGATTGGACGTCGATGTCAGCTCATAAACAATGAGATAGATCTACGAATAAAGAAAACGCGTAAACATCATATCTCGCACACCGTGTTCACCGCCGGCAGCCGTGGATTATGAACAAACAACCACGACCATGACAACCAGAGCTGATCGAGTAAAAACGAAACCAAATTGTTAAAGACAATAATAGCAGATCTGTGTGTACAAATCCCTAACAATACGCAGGAAATCAGACCATTTAATTTGATTTTTGTCCGAATTGAATAAACAAATTAGAGTTCCAAAAGGGCATTATGCAAATTATGAAAAATATTCTTTGTTGTGTTGTTTTACTTTTCCCCCAATTTTTATCAACCCTACGCGCCCATGTTTGATGGGAAGCAAGTAGGAAGTAGGAGTGTGGATGGAGTCGTTTCGTTATCTCTTTTTCTTAAACGTTCTACTTTGATGGGCTCAAATCTTATGTTATGTTTTTCACACGTTCAATTCGAAGGGCTTTTTAAGTAAGTATTTTTTTTTTTTTTTTTAAATTCATTTTTCGATTTTGATCAGATTCTACATATCGAGTATCGACTATCGAATCGAAACAATTGTAAAGTCATTGCAAGCTGTAAATGGGGATCAGGTTTAGTTTTGGATAAGTATTAAACCTTTGGATAAGTATTCAGATATATGAGTACATTGTTATATTTAATATATAAATAAAAAGAAAGTGATGTGTGAACCAATCGAATGTGACGACACAAATGTGAATACATTTAAATGATACGGATGTGGATGTCAAGTGTGCCGATTTTGATCTATTTAGATTTCTCGTATCAACTTCAACGGGTTTCTTTAATTAAAAAATATATTTTCTTTATTCATAAAGATAATAATTTATGGTAGAGTTTGGTAGTATTAAAGTTTTGATTACCAACTACGGCTAGGCCGGATGGTAGATGTTATTGCCGCTTATTAGAGTAGGAGCTTTGGTTCGAACTTGACAAAGGAGTTTCTAACTCTAGAATTACTAACATTTGAATTATTTAACATTTGAATTTCGAAATAAGTTAAATTATGCTATGACAATAGTATACGATCACGAAGTTAATAAACAAAAATACACTAAATTATTATTTGTATATAAACAATAATTCATAAATAAGAAGGAAAAAAAAACAATATTGTACAACAAATCACAAGCATAAAATCAAACACATTGATGTCAGCAAATCGTAGTGTTCTAAGACAGAAATTATCGTAGTATTGATTTGGAAGATACAACAATCAATCAAGATCTAGTATTGATTTCGATGAATTTCCTTATGCTTTCATGATTTCTAAGGAAAATGAAATTGATGAAGATCATGAATTTCTTTCTAGCCGACAAAATTTATCACTTCTCCATTCATTTCTAGCGTAAGAATAGTAGTTGTAACATCCAACCGAGTATAACTGCTAAAATTGACATTATAGTTATGCTAACAATTAACAAATTTTTAAGTATGGCAAACCTAAACATGTAAGTCCACTGTTTTGTTCCACTAAAGGGTGGCACAACAAAACAATGTTGAATCTATAATAACATAACCTAAAAGTCGATTTCTATGTTATACACAATTATTAATCCATAACATAAAATAAGGTTGGGGGTGTTTAAAATTGAAAATATCAGATATGAAAAAAAAATTAAGAAAATTTAAATAATAAAAGCAATTTCGGTTCCACAATGAACCTTCTAATATTGTGTATAATGGGCAACTTGATTATTTAATATATGTTATGTCCAAACTAGTATTGAAAATATTTAACAAGTTCTAACAAATTTATTTTGTCGAACTATTTAACCAAAACAAGCTTTTTAAGTTAAATCTAACTTTTTACTAACTTAATCAAATAAACTCTTAATTAAATCGGAAAAACAGCATTAAGGGGTTGTTTGGCAATATTTGAATTTTTTAAGTGATCAGAATTTCTATGAGGGTCTGAATTTTTAAGATGTGAATTTTAATATGTTGTTTGATTGGAACCTTTGAATTTTTGTGTTGTATAATAAAAATGATCATTTTATCCTATTGTACTGTTGAATTCTGGTGGACTAAAGTGTATAAGCAAAGTGCTTTTCAATTGCCCTCATAACTAATAATTAAATAGAACGACCTTTAGAGAGAGATAATGATTTATTAATTTATTATATGATTGATAAATTAATTAGAAATCAAAATAAATAATTTATTGATATATCATATGATTAATATATTAATTAGAAATTATATTAATTTCGAGTTAATCGAAAATTAATCATCATTAATTAGATTAATTGGAAATATTGTTGGATTAGGTGTTTAAGCCCATAACTATAATTGGCATGTGCTTGAATTGATAGCAGCACAGTCCTTTTGGATTGCCCTCAAACCTAGCATCCGGACAAGAAAATTATGAAAGGAGAGATATTGATTTATTATAAGATTAATAAATCAATATAAATGGTTTATTAATATGTTAAAGATTAATATAGTAATTAGGAATCATTATGTTTAATTAATAGTTAGCCAAAAATTAATCAGAATTAATTTTGGGGTTAAAAGTATTAATTATAAAGTGCAGGGACTAGTTTGCAGTTATCAGATAGTTGAGTGGAAGGCTCCAGAACCTCCTTAGAAGGAGGTGGACGAAATCTATGGGGGAAACCCTAAGGATTTCATCCAAGGGGGCTTGGATAAGGCCTTGGGTTTTCTTAGGCCCTAAGCAAAGGAGCATTAGGGTTTTCCTTAAACCCTAGATCCCTCAGCTATATAAAGAGCCTCCCAGCTCCTAAAATCGGACACTCCTACCTTAGAAGAAACCCTAGGCCGAAAATTGCATACTCCCTCTCTCTCTCTCTCTCTCTCTCTCTCTCTCTCTCTCTCTCTCTCTCTCTCTCTCTCTCTCTCTCTCCCTTCTAGTTTCCTTCTTGCTAGTTCTTGGGTGTGATTCCATTAGAGGCATTACATTTGTGGTGCTAAGCATCTAAGAAGATCAAGACCAGGATCAAGAGGATTGTCAATTGTTTGCTATAACAATTGAAAGGTATGTAACTCCTAAACCATAGTTTGTTATTTTCGAAAATAGCCTCTCTCCTCTAGGGTTCTTGTTTTGTAATTCAAAGCTATATGTTCAATAGTTAAAACATAGATCCAAAGTAGGTTGCATGTGAACTTAGGAATTGTTTTCTAGTTTATTTGTTTTACCTAAAACCCATCAGTGGTATAAGAGCCATTGTTTGTTTTAAATTGAATTGCTATAATAGTTGAATTGCAAATTAGGGTTTATAGCCATTAAACCCTAAAGGCCAAAATTTTCGATTTTAGGGTTTTAGATTAAAGGGTTTTCGAAAAACCCTAGCCTCCATGAACCCTAATCGAAATTAGGGTTAGGGTTTTGGAAACCCTTGCCTCCTCCCTTAAAAATTTCGAAATATGCTAGCCCATATTAGGGTTTCTTTGTTTTGGATAATGGTTGCCTTATTGGATAATTGAGAAAAATAAGGAAATTATCTTATCCCCATATTTTCGAAATCTAGAAGGGATATGGATTAGGATTAAATTAATTGTTTAATTTAATTAGATAATCCTTACAAGATTTAATTAATTAATTAAAAGTTAATTAATAGATAAATATTAAATCTAGGTATTTAGTTGAGAAAAATAAGGAAATTATCCTATCCCCATATTTTCGAAATCTAGGAGAGATATGGATTATTATTAAATTAATTGTTTAATTTAATTAGATAATCTTTACAAGATTTAGTTAATTAATAGATAAAGATTAAATCTAGTTATTTGGTTTATTTAAAATTTAAAATTAATGTCTTAATTTTCGAAATTTATATATAAACCCTAAAATTTTAAAAGTTTAAATCACACCTTATATATATATATATATATATATATATATATATATATATATATATATAATATATATATATATATATTATAATTAAAAGTTAAATATTATATATGTATAAATGTATAAGACTATGGTCAGTCAAATCGCTAGTATGCCTCATTCACGAAGCTAATCTATAAGGGGGTATAAGGAAACTGCCTATAAAATGGTAGTTTAATGGGTGTCCACTCTCACCCACCGCTTCCTTGATTAGTGGAGGTCGTTAGCAAAACGGATTCGATAGGACAACTACATCTCATTAAAATTATAATGTTATTAAAGAAAGTTCTAGAACATTATTTTACAAAATCCCAACTCTAGTTACTTTAGGAAAAATGTGAAAAGTATGCTAATCCATGAAATTGCACATTATGCTTTATTGGTCGTTAGTGGAGCGTGTGTGGTTAACCAGCACACTAAAAGGCACTAATAAAGAGTAGTAATGGGTATCTCATAATTGTCATTTTGATGGAGCGTGTGTGGTTTACCGGCACGTCAATAGTTAATGATAAAGACAATGAGGTTACCAAGCACATTTGCATGGTTATTCACATATTGTTTGTGATCCTCGACATCCCAGTCACAAATAGAAGAGCATAATCCGAGATTAAAATATGCAATTGAATAGTTTCAATGTATCTTAAAATATCTAGGAGTTTCCAATACATTTAAAACTTAACCTTCTTTTTCGTTTTTCATGGTGGAAAAATGGTAAATCGTCATTTACCTACCTTCAAATATTCTGCAAATTGGATTACGGTATCCCTCTTCCAATTTGTGGAATGTTGTGTTGGATCCTAGCCTCAATGTTTCATTTGGGTGTTACATCAAGGATTCTTATCAACTAACTTGAATTTTCTCCCGTTTTTGTAGATGTCTAGTTCTGACTATCATGGTTTTCCTAAATTCCATGGAACAAGTTTTCCAAATGAAGATGATGTTCCACGATATGATCGAGGAACAAGAGATCATGCTTCACTTCCTCCACCTCCTCCAATTGTTCTCCCTAACCCACAAGTTCGAAGGCTTGAAAATTTCAAGCTCACTCAAGCCCTTTTGGCAAGTAAACACGAAGATGGGAAACATGTGTGTGCACACGTCTTAGAGATGAAGTCACACATTGATAGGTTAAGCATGTTTGGTGTCGAGATTTCAAGTGAGTTGGCTGTTGACTGGGTTCTTCAGTCACTTCCTGAATCATATAGTGAGTTCGTTAGAGAGTACTATATGATGGATCACGACGTGACCCTCATTGATCTCACCTATTTGCTTATAGCTGCTGAATCAGCAATGATTTGGCGTGCTGATTAAGCAAATTTGTCTGGTGAATCAAACTCCCAAACTTCAATGGACATTGAAAATGATGACATTGGAGATCCAGAAAAGGTAAATGTCACACCCCAAAACCAGGAACGGCGGAAACGTTCTGGGGCGGAGGACGTCATGTATAATATCAACAACAATGTAAAGTAGTAAACAAGCAACAACATCATCCATTGCATTAATAATATAATTATTATACAAATGTGTTCTGTCAAATTTTGATAAACACTAAAGCATAAATCAAAATGAAAGATAAGTCTTGAACAAGCTCCATCTTCCTTTCTCCTTGCATCGGTACCTGTCTATGATGACCTGAGGATACAAGTAATTTTGAA